GACACATTCCAGCTTGTCAACATCTCTCTTAAATTGTGGTGCTCAGAATTGGACACAGTATTCCTGGTGTGGTCTGACCAAGGCTTACTCTGCTCAGGGGGAGGAAGGCTACACTGAAGACTGTGGGCTTCATGGTAGAAATGAAGTTGACTCCTTGATTTACTGGCATGGTCTTCTAATTTTTCCTGAAGTTACTTGTAACTCCATGGTATTGTCCTATTTGTAGCTGGGTGGGGTGGGGGTGCAACTAGTGCTGTCTGGTAAATAATTCTATTTTTGTCAGTCATAAACATCAGATCCCAGGGTTCCATGTGATGCTGTCATGCATGAAAGGAGTGGCATTTAGGATTCTCAGCCAGAAATTCTCCAGGGCACCAGCTACCTTAATCCAACCTTGAGGGCAGTAATATGAAAAACTGAAAGGGAGACAAGCCTCCAACTGATGCTCCAAATAGATGCCTTATTTATGAGCAATCAGTACATGTTTTCAGTCTTCATGGGCATATTCTCCAATTCTCATTTTTGTAGAATACCGCTTTTTACCCCTTTGAGTCAGTGTTTGAAAAAAACTCCCATTTCTGCTCTAGCCAATATGCTTTCTGTGTTCTTTTGGAAGATTTTCCATGGATTGAATTTGAACCACATGGGGCATTTTTATTGTATAAAAATCACAATTTTAGAGAGCAACTCATGGTTCTTTTCACAGCTGGTCAACTTCGGGGGTAATTTCTTTCCAGACATGCCTAGAACTGACTCCTGCTTCACTTTTCATATGGATTTTAGTTTATGGCTTCACTTGATTGAATTTATCACTCGCCATTCTCTTTTTGGATTGAGGAAAAACCTTAATTCCTTCACTGGCCTATCAAATAAAGCCACTCCAGCATTTATTTCAGATATACACCCTATGAAATCTAGCATAGTGGTTATGAGAAGACACAGTTGGCCAGTGACCCATAGAAAGAATTGTCAATTTGTGCAATTGTCTGGAAGGCAGTACAACTTCAGGGAGTCTTCTGAGTATGACTGACGTTGATGGAAAAGGAGACATTGGCTTCAGACTCTAAATCAAGCCTCACAGGGGGACAGCGACTGCTGGATGCCCTTTCCTCTGCCAGAGGACACTTCTGTTGCCATCCTATGTTTACAAGTAATTAATGGCTCCTCCACTAGGATCTTGTGTGTCCAGAATGCAGGCGGCCTCCTCCTCTTGTTTCAATGGATTCCTTAAGAAGTCCTCTCATAGAACATCTTCAAATGGTGTGGTGATAATGAGAGAGACTGTTGTAGGAGGAAATCCAATCAATGGTAATTAGGCCGAGACATGAATTAGTGCCTTGGAGACTTGGTCTCTCTCTGCTCTCTGATTGCATGGGGAGGAGCGGGAGCGGAATGGGCAGGTATTTAACTTTGGCTGGCCAGACGCATACATATTCCACTTATTTGGACATTTGCCCAGATTAAGAAAAAAGTTTTGTTGTTCTCTGTTGCATCTCCTTCAGAGGCAGATGGCGTCTAACCTTGTCACTGAGCTGTATTTTTCCCCCATTCTGCAGCATGCTAATGTTTGGTGGTGTTCATGCAAGTCATTCCTCTGAACAGAATATTATCAGCTAACATACCTTGAAGAAGCAGTGAGAATTGGATTTTACACAGCAGGCAGAGAGAGGAAGATCTTGAGTCTGGGGTTTTGAAAATAAGAGCCAGGATGTCTACCTTGCTTTGTTGAATGACTGTGGGTCATTAGTTGCAAGAGCGCTGGGTGCCTCCATAAATCAGCTTAGATTGTACCCCTCCCCAAATTTGTCTGAAAGCCAGTAGGTTGAGAGTACATTTTCCATTCAACTGGTCTCAGAACAACTATATATAGTGTGTCTGTACAAGAGAGAGATTATTTGGAAGCCTGGGATGAAATAGCTATTGCAGAAGTAACAGTGAGGGTGAAGGGGTTTTGCAGTAACTGGATAAATGTCATGGTGAAGAATCATAGGTTGAGCATTTTGGCATGAAGGAAACCAGGAGTAAATTCATTTCCAAATGGGCAGGAAAGTGCTTTTCTCCACCATCGCATATGTACAAAGCAAGCCCTTGATACTTCTAAGATCACAATAAACATTGTCTATCTTTGTGAGCCTCCCCGCTCCTCCCCAACTACTGAGATGTGTAATACATGTAAATGAATGCCACAGGAGTTATATTACTGTATGTTTATGGTTTGCATCTCCATGGGCCACATGCCATGTCAACAATTCCAAAGCAGTTATTCATTTTATGCTCTTTGGACTGGAACTCTTTCTCAGTCCTATTAATGTTCCACTTCTGTTATATTTTGCGCTCCATTAATATCTTACGAAAGAATTCCCACTTCCCATAGATGGTTGCTCCTTAGCTTAGTGTGTGTAAACATTTCCAGCCCCAGCCATAATCCTATCTTTCTTCCTTCTCTTCTTCCTAGAGCTTGCTTCTCAAAATAAATTGTTCTTATTTGGTTTATAAACTGCCTAAATCTTTTCTTCAAACTCCTGGATTAACAGCATCAATCTGAAGTGCATTCAGAGAGAGAGAAAGGACATAAACTATGGCCAGATTTCAGTAAGGGATGTATCTCTTTGGGAAATAGAATTTCACAGAATCCATATTCAGCATGGAGCTACCAAATGATTGCTATAGAGAAGAGCTAGTAAGGTGACCAGTACTCATCAGGACCAATGTACAATGGAACCAATGTGTTTTGGGGCATTGGCTAAGGAGTACTGAAGCTCATTGGTAAAGTCTGATGTGTATCACAATACCCTTTCCAGTGGTCTGATAAAACATCTTCACAATTCGCTCTAACAGGTTTCCATAGTGCCACTGATATACAGATAAGTATGTGTAAAGTTATGCAATGTAGACCATGAAAGAAAATTCTGGCCAGTCTCCATGGAGACACATAGATACACATTTAAGTGCTGTTATAGTTAAATGGAAATACTGGTGCAGTGAGAAGTCCCAGTTGTAACTTTTCTCCTAATAGACTCCCATGCCAGGACTAAGCTGGGATATAAATTAAACTAAATTAAATATAAACTTAGTTACTGACATTAGGGCTCAGTTACGAGACACCCCTCCAGGCATTGTTGGACTATACTGTTCTTGTGTGTCACTATTAAATATTCTGGCTATGATTTATAGTACTTGCAGTCTGAAAACATGCAGAGAGCTTCAGATTCCCACCCATGAAAATAGATGTAACCAACTGCAGTTGTGTTTGTCTGACAAATAAAAAGCAATTCATACCTTGTGTGTTTGTGTGCACTCAGAGTGGGATCTTATCTCTCTGGTATTAGATGCTTTTCCCAACTATTAATAGCTTCCCTACGTCCAATTGCAAGGCCTGACTAGAGTAGAATCATAAAATTTTAAGACCTGGGATCACAAGCATTATCTCATCCAATCCCCTGCCATGTAGAAATACACAACGAAAACATGTTTGAAAGGTGTCCACCCACCATTTGTTTAAACATATCCAAAAGAGAGAGAGTGGTCATTTTAAAAAATGGAAATGTTGATTCACCATTCCACAATTGATTGTTTGGGTTTACTCTGCTCCAGTGGTGCCCAACCTTTTTTTGACAAGGACTCACTTTGACCAGGGCCTACTTGACCAGGTCCCATTTTAACCAGGGCCCACTCTCCAGAATTAGTACTAAAAGAGGCAGGGCTGGTTAGCTCTGCAGAAAGGAGAGGAAATAAAATAAATAAAATAAAATAAATAAAAAGGAAGGAGGTTTGCGAACTGGATTTTCATTCTCATGGCCCATGGCTGGGCTGTGGCCCACAGGTTGGCAACCACTGTTCTACTCATTACAAACCAACAGGATGCCGGGAAAAATATCTTCCTTGTTTGAGTTAATGTCTCCTCTCCAAATACATCAAGGGAGTGGATCTTGTCTTCATCCAGATAGCAAATGCAACATTAGGTAAAGGTAAAGGTAGTCCCCTGACATTAAGTCCAGCCATGTCTGACTCTGGGGTGTGGTGCTCATCTCCATTTCTAAGCTGAAGAGCCGGCGTTGTCCGTAGACACCTCCAAGGTCATGTGGCCAGCATGACCGCATGGAGCGCCGTTACCTTCCCGCCGGAGCGGTACCCATTGATCTACTCACATTTGCATGTTTTCGAACTGCTAGGTTGGCAGAAGCTAGGGCTGACAGCGGAAGCTCACGCCGCTCCCCGGAATCGAACCTGCGACCTTTCAATCAACAAGCTCAGCAGCTCAGTGCTTTAACTCACTGCGCCACCGGGGGCTCCCTCAATGCAACATTAGCTTTTTCAAATTTCTGTGCACCAGAATATTCGGGACCAGGAAACACAGTGGGTTGTCTCATGTCCAGGGTTATATTGGACAAAATACGGGATCCTCAGATCTCTCTTGGGGGACTTCTGTGCTATCTTGTGGTGCCCGCACTGTTCGCTTTGCCAGCTGAAGAGAGACATCAACAAAAGACTAGGAAGTGCTATCCAGGAAAACAGCATCCCAAAGTCTCTTATTACTTCCGCTTTAATATCACCTGCTGTAACTAATCTTCTGAGAGACATCATGTTAGTTTGTTCAATATCAAAAGGAAGCAGACAAGGAACAACTTTTGTGGCCTCTTTGGAATTAACCTAGATATTTTTGTATTGTTTAAATGAAAAATGTGTAAAATTGGTTAACGTGTTTAATAATAACATATGTTATTATAACCCAATTCCTCTATAGCCATTCTTAGTAGGAGCACACCAATGGTGCACTCATCATACTTGCATTTCATTTTTGTTTCTGAATCTCAGAACAGATCTTTGCATCCTTCTGTGTGCTCATGGGATTTCCTCGTTCAAGAGCTGCAGATTGGCTCACGGATTTTCACAGATGTTCACAATTACACCTACAAACTACTATCAGTGTTAGGAGTAGTTTATAACTCTAAGCATACATATATACCATAAAAACAGGAAGCAAGGGGGGGGATCCCCTCTTTGAGTAATAAAGTTAGAGTTTAATTCCTAACATTTTTCTTGATGTCACAAAGTTTGGAGATTACAGTGGAAAAGGCTCTCAAAACATAAGAGTCCGACTCACAATAAGACAATAAAAGGATGTTGAGTGGGGAGTTGGCCTCAAGAACTTTGATATTTACAGGTAAAGAGGGCTGGACTTTCTACTGCTTTTTCATACATTGGTCACTAGCACCCAGTGAGTCTTGGAAGGCTTTGTAAAAAATCAGGCTCTTCTGAAGCAGGTGAGATAAATACAATGGAAGAAGTTAAGGGAGTTTCATTATTACTTTGGGGAAGACTTGAAATCAGCAGGACAGCTCATCAAGAAAAAACAGCAGTGGGTGAATAAACTGGGAGCTTGTAGTCTTTTTGGCCTTGTGAGACTTGTAGCATGAGACCATGGTGTTTTTATAAAGGGTTGTCCGGAGGAGGACATGGCCTTGCCATGCATAGGCAAGATGTGAAACTAGCACCTTCTAATCTAGAAATGGCTGTAGGGTTGTAGTGACCCTGTGAATAACAGACCTCCAAGACCCCTCCACACTCAGGGCTGTGGCTTCCTCTATTTAGTCTACCCAATAAGAGCAGACAATGATGAATATGTAATAGAGCATTATGTGTTTTTTTTTCCGGGACTTGTGACTGGGATTTGCTGGCTAGAATTCTCATAGAGGTTGTATTAGTCAGATACTTTTTCAAGGTATGCAAGTCCCATTCATCCACAGTGGAAAGACTTACATCTCCATCCCATCACTCTATGACCACCATAACACCCTGGACTACTGGAGCAGCCATGTTAAGGTACTAGTCATACTGTGTCTGCCTCCATGACTGCTGTTGCCTCCATCTCCTTACGGGTGCTGGTGAAGTTTTTGCCCAACAGCATTAAACAGGATGTTATCTTCAGGGTTAGAATGGCAAGGATTTGGATAAAAAAGAGCCACATCTGTCTCTTCTGTATGTTGCATTCTTCTGCCTACCACAAAGGAGTTGTGCCAGTTCTCATTCTGGTTGCCAGTAAATCCAGTGGCAACCAAGGTTGAGCAGGTTTATTGTGAATGGCACATTCCAGACTAGCAATTAACACCAGCTCACAGCCTAAATTGGTGCCTTCTTTTCCACTTGCAGGTTAGTATTACAGCACTCAAACCACTGTGAGAGAAATTGCTCCACATATGCAGTTTTAGTTCCTAAATAATATAACATTGAGGGATAACCTTTCCAGGCAAAGGCGCAATAATCAAAATTTATCTCTTTCAGAGCCCCTGCTTCATGTTACACCCTGGGGAAAAAGCAAACATTTTCCAGTAAATTCCCACATAGTACCAGTTGATGGATTTGACCTAAGGGACAAATCAGATGGGAGCTTATATTTTCTAAAGTCAGACATACTCGCTCAATCCCAAGAATACCTTCTAAAGTCAGAATGCATTAATAGAAAAATGCAAGTAATCCTATTGAATCAATGCTTCCCAAATTTCCAAGCTTGGCCTGATTACTGGTGAATGATTCTCAGCAGTTGATTAGGTGGGTGCAATGAGTAAATTTCTAGAAATAAAACACTGTAAACACTGTAAACACAAATGGAAAGTAGAAGATCATGAAATACACATTTTTGGTCCAGGGTAATCACCCTGCCATTGCACAGGGAACTTTTATCAGAGAGTGGCATGAACAGAGTATCTTCCAAAGTCTTCATGGAAACTCTTTTCCTCCATAGGCAAAACAGACCATGGTCCAGAGTGGCCATGGCATCATGTTCCTTTATCATCTTCTCACCTCCTTTGGATGGGTTTTGATGAGTGAAAGGAAGAGGCACAAAGAACATTTTCTTCACAGCAACTGGAGAACATCCCAGACTCTTAGCAACTGCCTCAGTCTGTCATGACCATATGTCTCAAGGAGGCATACATTCTCCTCAAATTTAGGAGGCTTGCTGTAATCTTGGGTACCAAGGCAAATGCTCTGTTGCCACAGGGGGAAATGGTTACAGAAAGCTGTACTTCAGCTCAAAACTCCACAAATTAAGCCAGAAATAGGTGCAATTTCTTCTTGGGGGGAATGGGAAGAGAGAAAACAAAACCTCCCACAGACAATCCTAATATGCTGTTCTGGTAGCCTCGGTGTCCCATGTACAGACCCAAGAGCAAAAACAGACAGGGCATGTCCTGATTCTTAGGGTTGAGCCCATAGTGTAGTCGTCAACAGTCCCTTTCCCTCCATGATGAGATGACGATCTTCAAACCCTGGCACCAGTGCACAGGAAGTGAGAGGAGCTGGTCTTGCAGAGAAGCACACAATTGTTGTCAAGAGACCTAGAGGGGGAAAAACAAAACAGGAATACCTTACATCTACTGCTTTACATTTGTTCTGGTATAGTAATTCCCACACTGAGTGCAACTAGTTTCTGACAGGTGTCTTTCCCAGCTCTTTCTGGAGATGCTTCCTGTCTTCTTTCTCCTCACTCCTGATCATTCAAAGTAAAAAATTTACCAAACTTTAGGTCTCTTATATTGTTCTATAATCCATTTGTGCTCTTTCTGCACAGGGGCAATGATGTTTCCCAGCACACAAGGAAAAACAAAAATGTTTTTTGCTATATGCAGCTACAAATTCAAAAAGTGTATTTAAATGATGATCCAGTCAAAGATCCACAGAATACTATACATGGCAGTGGCATCAAGTTCAATTTCCAAGGTTGATTCAATGTTGATACAGCAATTGGCTATTTAAAACACAGATAAGTTGCAATAAAGTTTTGATTATAGCTGAATAGGAAGCTTTTATTATATTTGGCTAACTCCCTCCTTAAAGCAATGGTATTCCCTGTAGTCACTTACGGATGTGAGCGCTGGACCTTAGGGAAGGCTGAGCGAAGGAAGATAGATGCCTTTGAACTGTGATGTTGGAGGAAAGTTCTGAGAGTGCCTTGGACCACCAGAAGATCCAACCAGTCCATACTTCAGGAAATAAAGCCCAACTACTCATTGGAGGGAAGGATAGTAGAGGCAAAGATGAAGTACTTTGGCCACATCATGAGAAGACAGGAAAGCTTAGAGAAGGCAGTGATGCTGGGGAAAATGGAAAGAAAAAGGAAGAGGGGCCGACCCAGGGCATGATGGATGGATGGCATCCTTGAAGTGACTGGATTGACCTTGAGGGAACTGGGGATGGTGATGGCCGACAGGGAGCTCTGGCGTGGGCTGGTCCATGGGTTCACAAAGAGTCGGAAACAACTGAATGAATGAACAATAACTACAACTCCCTCCTTGCTGCCCAGAGCTTGGAAAATGTACATTTTGAATTACAAATTCAGAATTCATCAGCTGGGGATTCTGTGAGTTATAGATGAAGTAGTAACTTTTCCCCTCCTTACAATGAATATATTAGTACAAACAGTACAAGCAGTTTTCAATATACAGAAATGAGTGTACAAATGGGCAACCCCAAGCACACTAAGATGTAAAAGTTGCAGACTGTACATATGCTGCACCAAGAAGACTTTAAGTTTGGCAGCCTCAAAAACTAACAAATGGGATGAGAATTTCATATTCAATGTGAATTCAGGAAAATCGGGTGCATTTGATGTAAGGACTGGGGTTTGGCTACTTTGTACACTGGAAGGAGGGAAAGTAGGGAAGAACTGTGAATGTATGCACTCACCGACTTGTCCCTAATCAGCTTGCTCTGATCCTGTTAAGTCCCACCAACATGCTTGACTCCGGCAGGTGACAGATTGTAACAGGTTTAAGTGCATTCGTTCCGAATTTTCTTCCCTAATCCCTTGCTCAGCCTTTTCCTATGGCAGGAGAATGATATGGAAGTCTGGAAGCTTTATAAGGGAAGGGGTAGGACAGACTCTCTGCTCAAAGGTCTAGATTAGTGTGGATTTATTCCCAGCAAAAAAAAAAAAAAAAAAGGGGGGGGGAGAATTACTTTTAAAAATCTTGCAGAGTTCAGTACAAGCCTGATTACTTTTAAATGTAGGAGTCATTCATTCTATATATACCACCATAACCGGAACCTCCATTCCCCTTTAGTGGGATGGCTCACACATACTTGAGAAATGTCATTGTCCCCTTCTCAAAAATATGAATGTTTGTTATTAGGCTCTATGGAATGAAACTAATGAAAATTATGGATTGCATGTTCTGTGCAGTTCTGGGAGGGTGGGGTGGTTATTAAGGAGACATTCTGCCCTTGCCTGAAAACTATGGCAAGAGGCCACAGCTGAGTAGATGAGAGTTAATGGTGAAAAGCTTTCTTGGTGGGGTTCTGTGTCTCCTTTGATTGTACATAAATGATTCAGCAGCCAAAAATGTGCAAACTCCATGTTGTCAACCAGCATGTATGAATATTTAATAATGCAAAATAGAGCTGGGACGATTGGACAGGATTTGCCAAATCTGCGATTGTATTTGATAAATATGGATGAGTCGTGCCCGTCCGCCATCCTCTGCCCCCCTCTCCCCAAAGCCCAAGGTGGATTTATCTTCCCTTAACAGCCAGAAAATTACATGCAAAGGAGTCTCAATGCACAGATGAGACAGTGGCATCAGGAGGCAAGGTTTAGATTTGTCAGGCACCGGAGAACTTGCTGGGACAAGCTGAAAGAGACAGGCTCCACCTGAATGGCAATGGAACCAGATTGCTGGGATTTTCACATTTAAAAGTTTGCAAAGCAGCTTTCAAGTTGATTTCTGAAGGAAGTCTGATAGACATGAGGGGCATCTGGTTCAGAATGTGAGTTTTTCCTTAAGGACAGGGCCAGGCTACTGTGGCCCAACAGAGGTTTTTGGAAGGCAGGTCTATGTTGACTATTGGCCGATGGGAGTTGTAGAAAAATCTAGAAAGCCAAAGTTTTTCACTTTTGCACCACTAATTAAACAAATAGCAAAACTAATACAAGCAACATCTAACTTGTTGAAGCTCTGATGGGTTGCAAAACATTTTTTGAAAATAGTACAGTAGCTTACAGAACAACTTTTACAATATCTTGTACAACAACTTTTGGAAGAACTGGTGGAAATACCCATGAAAGTAGAATCTGTGGGATTTGACATTTGTGTAAGAATGAAAACAAAACTTCCTTAAGCAACAGATTTGCACAAAATGACACCTCTGGATATGGTCTCTCTAGATCAGGAATGGGTGACATGTAGCTCTCCCAAACATTGTTGGACTTTATCTCCCATCATTCCTTAACATTATGGTTGCTGATGTTTGATGTCCAGCAACATCTGGAGAGCTCCATGGTTCCCATGTCTGCTATTAAGTCCAGGTTGGACTACTTGTGGTCCTACTAACGCTGCTGAAATGAAACTTCCATCAGTCCTAGCTAGGACAACTTATGATGAGTAGAGATAGTGGGAGTTAGTCTAAAAGCATGTCAGGGGCCACAAGTTGCATTAGGTCTAAGAAGAACTTTGATACAAGTGATATACTGCCATTTCACTGACTGATGCTTCAGAAGACGGGTGGAGAAAAAAATAAAGGAGGCCACCATAGGAGGAAAAAATGTGTAATACGTGATGACTTCAACTATTTTTATATTGAATAGGCAAATGTATATGCAAATTGGGACATTGCTAGCTATGATAAATGACTAAACCTTAGAACAGTTAGACACCAATGGGACACCAAGTGGAAGGTACCCTGGAGTTGTCAAACTGATTGAGAATGGTGATGAGAGTGTTATCAAATTCATCACATCTGCTTAAAGGTGAAGTTGCCCAGAAAATCTAATGTAGGCATATTTAATTTCAAATAAGGAAATTTCTTTTTTAAAAAACCTTAAGGGGATTAGTTAAACATAAGCTGAATTAGAGAGTCAAGAAGGTCAAATCCCTTCCGGATGTTATTTAAAACCGTGATAATAGAAACTCAAGACAGAATGTATACCACATAACAGGAAAGTGATTAACAAATTCCAGGAGATTGTCCGCATAGTTAATGAGTAATGTCAAGGAAGCTCTGAAAGACAAGATGGTGTCCTTTTAAAATTGGGTTTTGCCCACAGGGGAACAAATAGAGCTCTGTGAAAAATTGTGTTGACAGTAAGCCAAGTTTCAGTAACATATTGGGCTCTTTCTGGCAGATCACAAAAGAATGAATTTTTGCTGCTGTAGCCTTGGCACCCACTTGTCCCATTGTGTTGTGTGCTATTTGTAATGTCTTGAAAATACACAGGTCTTCAAAGGTTTGGTTTTTTGAAAAACTAGGCATGGTTTGCTGAGATGGGCTTATGATTTGAAAAGAAAATAATCTCTTGACCTGTTTTTAAAAGTGAATTACAGAGATGCTTTACAGAGGTACCAGAAATCCCCTGTTCACATCTTTTCCCACCCTGGGTGAAGGAGACTTTCCAGTAACTTAACAGAGATTCCTGTAACAGCTACTCAATGTAAGTGATTTTGTTCTCATCAGACTTCAAGGGCAGTTATTTTCTTTCAACTATGACTCTCAGCATCCCCCTACTCAGGTGGCCAGATTAGCCAAGGGCTAGTTTCAGCATCAAAGTGGGGGAGCCAGAATCCTTTTTGGACAGTGGCTGCCAGAATCCCCCAAGCAGCATTGCCATTAATTCAGGAGAACTTCTGAAAAGTTGGCTCTGCCACTGAGAAGGCAGTTGTGTGGATATGTAGTTACTTGCACATGCTCTGCTGTAAAATGCAAATTATTAAACATCTTTTCAAGTTTCTACCTTTCTGCAGAAGGGAAGGGATAGTGATCGTGATCATTTTACCATCCCCATTCAACTCTTGTTGTCAACAGTGCTTTCTGGGGGAAAATAGGATCTGTCCCCTCTAACCTTTCTAATACAATAAGCAGCATACTCCAAAAAGCTGTTGAACATTGGTAAGAACTACGAGAAAATGTACATCAGGGGAATTGGGAAAATATTCCCCCTCCCAAGATCACTCCTATGATTGTTTTCCCTTGGTGTGTCTCATGTGGATGGGAACAGAGCCATCCCACGTTGTCTCTCTGCTCTCAAGCAGGTCTCCATTCACTAACTCCATGCATTCCTTTTTCTTCCTTCTTTTTCCTTGTCTAGATCAACTTCCTCCCTCCCTCTCTTCTACCCTCCTTTGCTTCCCTTCTCCTCTTCTGCATCCCTTCTTTTCCTCTCCTCAAAGACCTCCAAGCCTAGTTTTAAGATATTTTCAAAAGCTTTTCTCCTCTGTTCATCTATGCAAGTCAGTATTCACCATTTTTCTCATCTACAAAGTTTCTCACATATTATGGTGACCATGAACGATCATTTTCCTTACAGTCTTAGTTTACCTTTTTGTAAGCAGAAAAATGGAGGAGG